TCCTCTTGTCACAGACATCCTGAATCTTGACAGGCAGCCCGAGCTGGAAGGGAAAGCAGGCCTCCTGTTGCCATCAGAGTCATACAGAGCACTTTTTTTGCCTCCTTCTTGTGCCAGGGCCTGCTACCTCGTGGAGAGAAGCCAAACCCGCTGCGGCAGAAGAACGCCAAGGTGAACAACCTGCTCAAAGCCTCGCTCCCCAAGCTGCCCAACGTCCAGCTGCTGGACGTGGACGTGGGCTTCGTGCACTCGGATGGCACCATCTCCTACCACGACATGTTCGATTTCCTGCACCTGACGGGCGGGGGGTACGCCAAGGTCTGCAAGCCCCTCCATGAACTGATCATGCAGCTGCTGGAGGAGACCCCCGAGGAGAAACGAGCTGCCCTGGCCTGAGCCGCCGATGTCGGCGCCGAGAGCATCATCCAGCCCATCAGATCAGTTCTGTCACTGGCACTACAGAATCCTTCTTTCTTAAAGCACTTTCCATTACAGAATGTTACCGGATGTCCGTACCTAGTGTTTTGAGGGGGAAGGCTCGTGTTTAACTGGTCTTGTACATACGAGGGCCGGCTTGGTTGGTTTTATTGCAGGAGGAAATTAGCTGAAGAAGAGTTTTACTTTTAAACCATTCCTCATTTAAAACGAGAACAGGACTGTCACTCTGTGCCCCTCCCATGTCTTGTTGCTCTGTGGTTGTCCTAGAACCCCTTGTAGCCTGTCCAACACCGCGCCTGGCTCACCATTCCTGGCTGTAGCCATCGTGCTCTGTGTATTTGCCTGGGAACAAGAATCACATTCCACTTGCAAAAGCCAGAACAGATGCATTTTTCCAAACTCGGTCCCACCTTTTAGAAGTTTGGGGGTTTTTTTTGTTTTGTTGGTTTTTTTGTTTGTCGTTTGTTTTTTTTACTGGGGGGTTTAAATGAAAGGTGTTGCTTTCTCACTCCTTTCTGAAGCAGCATGAAACTGGAATTCAGAAATTTAAAGAAGCAAACGGTTACCTGAGCTCGTGCAACACTCCCAGGTGCTTGTCTTGTGCTTGTCTCCCCATGCCTGCTAGCCAGGGCACCTTCCCTCCCACGCAGCTCTCCCGGGGGCACCTTCCTTCCCTCCCACGCAGCTTTCCTGGGAACACTCCTGTTCGGGTGCTGCTGCTCTGCCCTGCTCCTGCTGCCTGTGGGGTCGCTGGCTTTTAGCAGTTGCTCAGTGTAGGATTTTAATGATCCAATAATCTGGCAGTCACTTCCTTGCTCCCTGGAACTGACAGACATCCCTCTGAGGTCCCTGCACCACAGGGCTCTTTGCAGTGCTGTTCCTTGTTCCTTTTTTTTCTTTTTTTTTTTTTTTTAATCAAGTATGACTGTTACATCCTTTTTTTTCTAAAGCAAACCCACATGAACAGCCCCTGGCTGCAAGGCCCAAATCACTCTGAAGCTTTACAGATCCCAAGGTGTATATTTCTTTATTGCTACTGGTTTACTTGTATAAACATTTTATTTGAGCAACTACAGCCTCTTACGGTAAAAAGTGAAGTTAAGGCATAGCTTTCCCTGCCCTAGACACTGCTCCTCACCTCTAGCAAGGGAGCTGGAGGGGCAGGTGCCCCCCTAAGGGGCTGTGGCTCGGTGAGATTTTGGTTTGGTTTGTAGTTAGGAGGGCTTGTTTTAGTGAGACAGCCTTTCATTTAAAACTGAGAGGTTCTCTTTCAGAAAGAAACAGTTTGGACCCAAGAAGCAGGGCCCTGGATTAATTGATAACTTGCAAATTGATAACTATTTTAAACCAAGTCTCTTCCTCCCTGGCTTACCTGCTGGAGCTCAGTGGTGCCACACAGGCCTTCCTGTGGGATCCACGTGCAGGTAAATCTGGGAGGAACAGAGAGCTTCCCTCTGTGTGCCGAGGGAGGTGCTCAGGTGTCAGGTCCTTGCTGAAGCCCATAGGTACTGTACATAGTCTGTCTGCCCTTTGCTGTAGCCAAGGGGCTGGTGTGTAACTCTGACCTAGCATTGAGGAATCCCGTAACGTCCCACCTCATCCCCCTCCTCCTGTAGATTTGATCATAGCAGGATTCCTGCCTGGATTGCATGCATAGTGTGTGTTTTGTTTCCAGTATATGTGATCTACACACAGATGAAGGAAAGGTGAAGTGTTCCCCTTGCCAGGATCAGACGCAGGGAGCTGTGGAGTGCCATGGGAGAGGAGGGATCACGTCCTGCCCCATGATCCAGACCAGGGATGCTGCTCCCTGAGGCTGGCTTTGCACTCGTGGCCTTGCAGGGCAGGCTTTGAGGGAACGCTGCTCACGCTTCCCGTAAGGTGCTGGCTGGAGAAATTGGGGAAGGGCAAGTGGAAAATCAAATGTTAAAAGTACACTGCAGTGGAGAGTTCCCGGGGAAGGGCTTATCCCACCCCCAGCCCCCTCAGGGAGCCAGGATAAAACTCATTCTACTCCCTGAGAGCTTTCCATCTCTCCAGGCTTGTGAGAAAAGGCAAGTGTGTGCTAGTTAATCTGTGCATCCCTGCTTCCCTTCCCGCTGCTGCTGCTGCATTTGGCTGAAGAGATGCTAACCAGGAATGTACTCCAGTAAAGCTCCGGCTTCTCCGCTCGGCACCCTGTGCCCGCTGTGAGTCAGCCCCTTTGGCAGGGTGCCGAGTGGACCGGGAGGTTTGGCAGGCTCCAGAGGCTCTGGAGTGTCACCAGGGAGGCTCTGCTGGCTCTGCTTTGGCTTGGCTTGCTGAGGTGCCACGCTCTGTGCTGGTTCAGTGCTCACGGCTCTGCTCCGTCCCTGGTGCTGGAGAGGGAGGACGGCGTCTTCTCCACTCAAACTTGGCTCTGCCTGGCAGGAAACTGCCCTGCTCACCTGAGAGGTGTTGTGAGCAAGAGGGTTCTGCCTCCTCGCTCACCTAGTGCTGAAAACCGAGTGCCTCGTGTGGGAAAGCTTCAATTCCAGCTCTGGATGTCCCTCGGGAGGGGCCTGTGCTGGAGCTAAGGGCTTCTCTAAGTGAGCATTCCCAGTTTGGTGTTTATTGCAGCAGAGAGGAAAACAAACAAACAGAAGATGTGAAATGACAAAGTCTTGTGAGGTGCGGGGCGGGAGGACGAGGCAGGATGGGAGCCATGAGGAGGAAGGCCCGTCCCTCCCCTCGCTGCCCACCCACCGCCCCGAGCCTCCCCCGGGACACAACCATTGTGATTCTGCTTTGGCAAAAATGCATCGGCTGGTAGAACTCACTGTTAGTGCATATTTCAATATAAATGTCAATGTTTCACCCACCGTGTCGCAGCCTGTGTGTGTGTGTGTGTGTGTGTGTACGTGCCGAGGCGTCTCCTGCCTCTGTCTCGGTCACTCTTGGTCTCCACAGGGCTGAGGAGGTGCTGCCAAACCTCCCACCGAGGGCCCTCCCTGGCCCTGGGAGCTGTGCTCAGCCAGATCCTCGCTCCTGATTTAATTCCTGCTTTTCCCCGCTCCGTTTGGGGCTTTTTCCTGTCTGTTTTTCCTCCTTTCTCCGTGCAGAGCTGAGGTCCTGTGAGCGCGGTGCTGCAGGTTAAGGGAACCGGTATTTCAGCCCTCGACAGGACATTGGCTTGTATTCAACTGCCGAGTGGTTTCTCTCTAATAGCCCTGGAGTGAACAGGGAAGGCACATCCCCACGCAATCCCCCTCACGGCCATCCCACGGAGGCGACTCGAGTTCCATCAGAGTGGGTTGGAGTTCTGCTTCTAGTCCCGCATGGGCGTCCGTCTGTCCCTGAGGTCATTCCATCTGCCACCAGCGTCACCACCTGTACCTGGAAACAATGTGCAGACTGTCCAAAGCAGGGGATCCTCAGGGAGAGGAGGCCCAGAGAAATAAAGTGCACAATAGCAGCAGCACTTGTCTCGTGCCGTTTGTCCCACGGAACCGGCGGCAGAGGTCCTGGATGTCTGAGCGAGCCCAGAAAGTGGCTTTGTGACAGGTGACGTGGGGCTGAGCCGCTTCAGAGGGGGATTTTAAACCAAAAAACACAATTGCAGACACAGAAAACGTGATAAAAAGGCCCCAGAGCCCTTGGAGAGAGGCCTGGAGGTGGTTGGCTCGGCGGCAGCTGGCACAGGGGTGTTTTCAGAGACACACACTAAATGCAGCGTGGCATCATTCCTGCTTCCCTGATGAACACAGCCATGGGAGAACTTTCAAATCACTTCAGCCTCTGGTGATGAGGGGTGCTGCAAACTGGAGGGAGGCTGCAAGAGCCCCTGTGGGAATCCAGAGAGCATCAGGAGAAAGGGATGGGGCAGAGCCATGCATCGCCTGGCAGGGGATTATTCCATCTCCCCACGGACTTTGGGGTCAGGCAGGCTGGGCAAGGGGCTCAGTGAGTGTCTGGAGCATGGACACGGCCCTGGGACTTCCCTGCAGGGTGGGGGACAGGGACTCCAGTACAGGGTCTCCTCGGAAGCAGGGGCTCCTCTATGGGGTCCTGTATATGGGCAGGGCTCCACAATAGAGGGGGACTTCCCCTGTGGGGTCCCACATGGAGCAGGGGCTCCTTTATGGAGCCGGGCTTCCCCTGTGGAGTCCTATATAGGACGCAGGTCCCCTATAAACCAGGGCTCCCCCTATGGCGTCCTATACGCGGGGGTGGGGGCTCCCCTATAGGACACGGCCTCCCCTGTGGGGTCCCATATGGAACGTGGCTTCCCGTGCGGGATCCCGCATGGAGCAGGAGCTGCCCCACGGCCCCGGGCTTCCCCCGCGGGTCCCTGGGAGCGGGGGTTCCCCGCCGGGCCGGTTCCCCCCCGGCCCCGCCCGCCGCGTCACTTCCCCGGCCGGGGCTGCAACCCGCGACGGGAGTGACGTCACCGCCGGTCCGTGTTTACCGCGGCTGCGGAACGGGAAGGGACAGACGGACAGCGCCGGGATCGGCATCGGGACCCGGGCACCGGCTCCGCGCTCTGCCCGCAGCGCCAGCGCGGCCCCGCTCCGGCCCCGGCCATGGGGCAGCGCGCCCGGGCTCGCCCCGGCTGAGCGCCCCGTCCCGTCCCGTGCCGTGCCCTGCCGTGCTCTGCCGTGCCGTCCTGCCCCGTCCCGCCCCGCGGACCTTGGCCGGGGATGCTGGCGGGATGCCGGGCTCCGGAGCGGCCGCGCTGGCCCGGGCGCTGCTGGCCGGGGCGCTGCTGCTGCTGCTGCTGCCCCCGCCGCCCGTCCTGCCCCAGCCCCACCGGCGGAACGTGACCGAGACGGAAGCCCAGTTCAACACCACCTACACCGACTGGGTGGACGCCGACCTGCTCCACATCTACGCCTTCAACCACAGCGTGCGCAGGAACGCGGTGAGCCGGGTGGTCGCCACCGCCGCGTCCCCCGCGGGCCGGGTGTCCCCCGGGGTCCCTCGTACCCGGGGGTGTTTGGGCGTGCGGGGCACGGCAGCCTCTGCCACGACGGCCGAGCAAAGTCCAGCCGTCGGGATGAGCCGCCGCCGCCGCCCGACCTGCCCGGCCAACGCCTCGCCTTGCCCTGTCCCCGCAGACCGAGGGCGTGCGGGTGTCGGTGAACGTCCTGTCGGACCACAAGGACCTGCCCGTGCTCTTCGTGGTGAGGCAGAAGGAGGCGGTGGTCTCCTTCCAGGTGCCGCTCATCCTCCGGGGCCTGTGAGTACCAATCAGCGGGTTCCCCACGCAGGGATGGATGCCCGGGCTGGGATCCCCCCGACAGGGTTTCCCCCTGCACGGGGGGGGTCACACAGCCCCGCCTGCCCCAGGTACCAGCGGAAATACGCGTACCAGGAGGTGAGCCGCACGCTCTGCCAGCCGCAGACCAAGGCCGAGGTGGAGACCCAGCACTTCTACGTGGATGTCTCCACACTCTCCCTCAACGCCTCCTACCAGCTGCGGGTCACCCGCGTGGAGAACTTCGTGCTGCAGTGAGGGGAGCCCCGAGCCACAGACCCGCTCCCTGCCTGCTGCCCGTGGGGGCTGTGGGGGCTGCAGGCTCCCCTTGGCACCCATCACCTCTCCGTGCTCTCTCTGCAGGACAAATGAAAGGTTCAGCTTCAACGCCACGGCCTCCCAGCCGCAGGTGAGGGGAGCTGGCACAGTGTGGCACGGGAGTGGGGCTGTGCCACGTGGCCACCGTGGCAGCAATGGGCCATTTCCCCCCCGCAGTACTTCAAGTATGAGTTCCCTGAGGGAGTGGACTCGGTGATCGTGAAGGTGACCTCGGCCATGGCCTTCCCCTGCTCTGTCATCTCCATCCAGGACATCCTGGTAGGTTTGGGCAGTGGGGTCTCGGGGTGATCCGTGGTGCCCGGCGGGGCTGACGGGCCCTCTGCCCCCCCAGTGCCCTGTCTACGACCTGGACAACAACGTGGCCTTCATCGGGATGTACCAGACCATGACGAAGAAGGCGGCCATCACGGTGCAGGTGGGCACGGGGCTGTGCCAGGGGGCTTTGCCAGAGGGCTGTGTCATGGTGCTGTGCCATGGGGCTGTGCCACGGTGCTGTGCCATGGGGCTGTGCCAGGGGGCTGTGCCACGGGGCTGTGTCACGGGGCTGTGCCATGGGGCTGTGCCGTGGTGCTGAGCTGCTCCCAGCCCCTGCCCAGTGCTGCCGGGTACCTCTGGTTATCAGAGCTCGCAGAGGGTATCCCTGGGATAACCTCTGGCATGGGAGACCCCCAACTGGGCTCTGCTGACCCCCATCTCTCCCCCCTGGGATGGCTGCTGCAGAAGAAGGATTTCCCCAGCCACAGCTTCTACGTGGTGGTGGTGGTGAAGACGGAGGACGAGGCGTGTGGGGGGGCTCTGCCCTACTACCCCCTCTCCAAAAACGCCTCTCCAGGTACGTGGGGGGCTGGAGGAGGCACCCACCCTGCTGGTGTGGGCTGTGTGTGGGGACACACTGGGGACAGGGCAGAGAGCTGAACCCCAGCCGTGCCCCCTCCCAGATGAACCCGTGGATCAGCACAACCGGCAGAAGATGCTGGAGGTGATGGTGTCACCTGCCATAACCTGTGAGTCTGGGAGGGGCTGGGTGTGCTGGGGGTGGTGGGCTCTGCAGGGACCCACAGCAGGTCCCCAGAGGTGCCACCCCCCCCTGAGGGCTTGTCCTGGCTCTGCACAGCGGAGGCCTACGTGAGCAGTGTGCTCTTCTGCCTCAGCATCTTCCTCTCCTTCTACGTCCTCACGCTGCTCATCGCCTGCTGGGAGAGCTGCCGGTGAGTCCCTGGGTGTTGCTGCTCCTCTGGGTGCTGGGCCCACGGGCACCATCCTGTCCCTGATGAGGTGGGGGCCCTCGGGCTGTGCCCCCTCACCACAGCCGGGCTGATGGCTGCTTCCCTCGGCAGGCAGCACAAGAGGAGGGGGCTCCTGTCAGCCATGGACTCGCCCAGCCTGGACACAGGTGAGGGATGGAGGCAGCAGCCACCGGCATGGAGGGATTTGCCTGCGGGATTCCCACTTATTCTGGCCTCTTGAGCCCTGATTCTGTAGGAATTCCCCACTATCCCCCTGAGCCCTGCTTGCCCCTCAGCTCCCCGGGGACAAATCCCAGTGCCAGGGGTCCAGGGAGGTCCCAGACTTCTCCACTGTGGGGCTGGCAGGGCTGCGCTGGGGCTTTGCATCTCACCAGCTCTGTCTCTTTCTTCCCACGGCTTTCCGGGGACTCCCAGCATCACTCCTGGGTAGGTGCCAGCTCTGTCCTCGGCTCTGAGCTCGCTCTGTGCCAGGGCAGGGCTGCGGGACTCTGCCCTGAGCCCGAGGGCCACGCAGCCCCGGGACAGGGGTGCCACCAGGGCTGACAGGGACCATCCTGTCCCACAGGACACTCCCGCAGCATCCCCGACTCCTTCCTGGGCCGTGGTTACGACAGCTACGGTTACGGCTCCTTCGGTGAGTGCCTTGTGCTGTCCCCCCGTCCTTCACCCCCCTGCCCACGGGCCGTGCCCACCCTCTGTGTGTCCTTGCAGGGAACGGCTCCTCCAGCAGCACCGAGGGCGTCACGGACAGCCTGGGCTCCACAGAAGTCTCCTACAGTTACGTGGGTGAGTTGTGGGGCGACTGGTGTGGCCGCAGCCCTGCAGAGCCACGTGCCCGGTGGTGTCCCAGCTCTGCCCCTCTCCGTCTCCGGGAAGGGTCCCGGGGCTGGCAGCCCCTCCGTGCAGCCCACAGCGGGGTCTCCATTGGCAGACACGTGCGGGGGAGCCCTGCTCCAGTAACTGTGGCTTTCCTTTGAAGGGCAGGAGCAGTTCAAGCGGCGCACGCCCTCCGCCCCGACGAGGCCGCTGAGCATTCCCATGGGTAGATGCTGGTTCTGGGCAGGGTTGGGCCAATCAAGGTGAAATCTGCCCAGCCCCAAGCTCGTGCCCGGGGCACAGAGCGCCCCAGCTCCCCTCCCTCAGAGCAAGGGCAGCACCAAGGGGCTGCAGGGCAGGATGTTGTTTGCCTGTGCCCCAGCTGTCCCCAGTGTGGCAGAGCCCCGGGGGACGGGCATGGGTGACGTTCACCCACATGGCTCAGCCACCACGTGTCCCCCCGGGCAGGGACAGCGCAGGGTCCGGGGGATTAGAGCCTGTCCCTGGTGAGAGTTGTCAGGGAGGCAGCCGAGTGGTTAATTGGGTGTGATTGGGGTCCCACGGGGTGGGTGCCGGGGTGGGCTGGGCCGGGGACTCCTCTGACGGCCCCACTGGGCCGCAGGGGAGCGATCCCTGGAGAACGTGGCCGGCCGGCCCCGCCTGGACTCGCTCAGCTCCGTCGAGGAGGATGACTACGACACCCTGGCTGACATTGACTACGACAAGAATGTCATCCGCACCAAGGTGTGTCCCACCCCGGCCCCCGGCCCCCGCCGGCCGCTGCCCACTGCCCGGACAACCCCTCACCAGCCTCTCCTTCCAGAAATACCTGTGTGTGGCCGACCTGGCGCGCAAGGACAAGCGGGTGCTGCGGAAGAAGTACCAGATCTACTTCTGGTGAGCGGGGGGCAGTGGGGATTGGGGGCACTGAGCAGTGTCCCGACCCGGGGCCCCCTGACACCCCCCTGCCTCTCCCAGGAACATCGCCACCATCGCTGTCTTCTACGCCCTGCCCGTCATCCAGCTTGTCATCACCTACCAGACGGTAAGTGGGGCGGGTTGGCAGCAGCTGGGGCTCCTGGGAGCTCTGGGGGCTCCAGTCCTAAACTGTGCTCCCCAGCACAATGGGGATGCCCCTGGGGGTCCCCCCCGACCCTCACCCTGCCCGTGAATGCAGGTGGTGAACGTCACTGGCAACCAGGACATCTGCTACTACAACTTCCTGTGTGCCCACCCGCTGGGGAACCTCAGGTGGGTTCGGGGTGGCTGGGGGTGGGTGGCTGGGGGTCCCCTGTGCCCAGGGCTGGGCTGTGGCGGGGCCCCGAGGACAAGGGAGGGTCCACAGCACTCAGGTGTGGACTGGCCCCTCGCAGCGCCTTCAACAACATCCTCAGCAACCTGGGCTACGTCCTGCTGGGTTTGCTCTTCCTGCTCATCATCCTGCAGCGTGAGATCAACTACAACCGGGCGCTCATGCGCAATGATGCCCACGCCCTGGTAAGGGACGGTGGTCACTGGGGTGCCCCGGGGGGGCTCAGCCCCCCACGAACCCCCCGCTTCCCCCGCCCCCCCCCCCCCCCCACAGGAGTGCGGCATCCCCAAGCACTTCGGGCTCTTCTACGCCATGGGCACCGCGCTCATGATGGAGGGGCTGCTCAGCGCCTGCTACCACGTCTGCCCCAACTACACCAACTTCCAGTTCGGTGAGTGCCCCCCCAGCCCCCCGCTGCCCACGCCGGGGCCGCCCCCACCCCCCTCTCACCGCTGTGCCCCCCCAGACACCTCCTTCATGTACATGATCGCGGGGCTCTGCATGCTGAAGCTCTACCAGAAGCGCCACCCAGACATCAACGCCAGCGCCTACAGCGCCTACGCCTGCCTGGCCCTCGTCATCTTCTTCTCCGTGGTCGGCGTGGTGAGTGGGGCGGGCGCTGTGGCGGAGGGGGACGCGCACGTGGGTCACCCCCACGGCTCACTGCCCACCCCCCCCCGCTCCCCCTGCAGGTCTTCGGGAAGGGGAACACGGCCTTCTGGATCGTCTTCTCTGTCATCCACATCTTGGCCACGCTGCTGCTGAGCACCCAGCTCTACTACATGGGGCGCTGGAAGCTGGGTGAGGGCGGGCACCGTGAGCAGGGTGGGCAGGGGGTAGCGCAGTGGTCCCCCCAGTGTCACCTCCCCTCTCCCCACAGACTCGGGCATCCTGCGCAGGATCCTGCACGTGCTGTACACGGACTGCGTGCGGCAGTGCAGCGGGCCCATGTACGTGGTGAGTGCTGGCACCGGGGCCCCCCTGGCTCTGCCGAGACCCCTCCTGGCAGCCCCTGCCCCTCACAGCCCCCCTGCCCTTTGCAGGACCGAATGGTGCTCCTGGTCATGGGAAACATCATCAACTGGTCGCTGTAAGTGCAGAGCCAGACCCCACCCTGCTTCTCCCCGTCACTGCCGCTGTCCCCACCCTGCTCCTGCTGTCCCTGCACTGGGGCTGGGCTGAGGACAGCCAGATCGTGACAGCTGTGAGCCCAGCATGACAGGTCCCCCTGCAGCTGTGGCACCCCAGTGTCACCTCACGCTGCCTGCCCTGCCGGGGGTTGCTGGCGTGCCTCGGGGACAGCGGGCACACGGGCACCACAGGGGGCCCCAGGCTGTGCTGACCCTGCTGCCTGCCCCTGCCTCCCCAGCGCTGCCTACGGCCTCATTGTCCGCCCCAATGACTTCGCTTCCTACCTGCTGGCCATCGGCATCTGCAACCTCCTCCTCTACTTCGCCTTCTACATCATCATGAAGGTGGGAGCTGAGCCCCCTGCCCCCATGGGCCTGATGGGGAGGGCAGGGCAGGGCAGGGCACTGCTGCCAGCTCCTGCCTGCACAGTGACACCGGGCTCTCCCACAGCTTCGCAGCGGCGAGCGCATCAAGCTCATCCCCCTGCTCTGCATCATCAGCACCTCTGTGGTCTGGGGCTTTGCCCTCTTCTTCTTCTTCCAGGGGCTCAGCACCTGGCAGGTGAGCAGGAGGGTGGCTCAGGCAGTGGGGTGGGCAGGGTGGCCACGGGCGGGCACAGTGACACTGGCCCTGTCCCCAACAGAAAACGCCAGCGGAATCTCGGGAGCACAACCGTGACTGCATCCTGCTCGACTTCTTTGACGACCACGACATCTGGCACTTTCTCTCCTCCATCGCCATGTTCGGCTCCTTCTTGGTAGGTGCTGGTTCCTCCAGCCCAGCAGACCCTGCCCCTGCCCCCCAGCTCACCATGCCCCGCTCCCCTCGCTCTCCTTGCTCCGCAGGTGCTGCTGACACTGGACGATGACCTGGACTGCATCCAGCGGGACAAGATCTACGTCTTCTAGGAGCCCGCAGCCTCACGCTGCCCTGGGACTGTGCCAAACACCCCGCTGCAGCCCCGGGAGGGGGACCCACCCCCGGGGAGGGATGTCCGTGCTGCAGGTCCTGCCAGCCGCTCCGTCCCCCTCCCCACGCAGCCTGGGGGTCCCGGTGCACCTCCTCCCTGTCAGCCAGGTCCCTCCAGGCACTATGTGCCCATCCCTGGGCCTGTCGTGGCCAAAAACAGGGCCGGGGGGCCACCGGCGCACCGTCCTCGGTGGCAAGTGACACTGGAAAAGGTGCTGCTGCTCCGTGTCCGTGTGCCCGTGGGCGCGGCGAGGGGATTGCGGCGAGCGCCGTGCCAGCAGCCCCGGGGCCCCCCGAGCTCGCGGGTGTGGGTCTCTCTTCAGTGCCTGAGTCGTATGGGTGGGAGGTGGGGGTGTGTGGGGCCAGCACGGTGGTGGCAGTGGCCAGAGAGGCCCCACTCGTGTCCCCTGCAGTGTCCCGGGGGGGTGGCTGTGGCGGGCCCCCGTTGCCGCTCCCACTGAGGTGCCGCGCGCTCTCCGCGCGTGGATCTGCTGGGAAGGGACTCGCATTAAAGTGTCTGCACTTTGCCTGAGCCTCCTGCCTCCTGCCTGGGCAGCAGGAGCCCGGGGGGGGTCCCGGGGGGCAGCTGCCACCGGGTGTCAGCCAGGCACTGCTGTGGCACTGTCTCCTTCCCACGGGATTTTGGGAGAGTGGAGATGCTGCAGCGCTGCTGCTGCTCTGGAGAACCTCTGTGGGAGGCTGGGGGTGGTCTGCGGGGCACAGGGTGGGGGGCTGGCAGCCCCAGGGGTAGGAGGGATGCCCGGGGGGGTCCTATTTCACAGGCAGCAAAGCTCCTGGGGGCCCCCGTGGCATCGCGGCGCGGTGCCAGGGCTGCTGCGTGCCCCGCCGTGCCCTGACCCGCTCCAGCTGGTGCCCGCGGGGCAGAGGGAATCCCGGGATGCTGCGGGATGCCCAGGCGCGGTGCCCGCGGGATGCCCGCAGCTCGCAGCCTGCCCCGGCGGTCCCGGCCGGGCTCCGTGGGCGGTGGGTCACCACGGGGACCCCCCTGGGCCGCCCCGGCGGTGAGCACATGGGGAAACCAGCCATGAAGTCAGGGCGGGAGCCCTCGGCGCTGCCACCTGGCTATAAAAGGATTTACTCCATCAGCCCCCGGCCCGGGTCCGCCCCTGCCCCGCCGGGGCGGAGGCACGCGGGGAATGCTCGGGCTTTCGTCGCTGGTTTTCGGAGTCTTTCCCCAAATATGGTGCCTGGGATGGAGTCATGGAGCGCTGCGGGGCCGGGCGCCCCGGGAGGGAGGGCCGGGGGGGGGGCCGGACCCCGCGCCCCGCTGACATCACCGTCCCGCCGACCGCCTTTTAGCGCAAGGTCGGGGTCCCCGCGGGGCAGAGCGCTGGTCCCGCGCCGAGCATCGCCCTCGCTCCGTCCGCAGCCGCTTGTGAGTCCTGCCGCGGGGGGAAGGCGGGGGGGGGGCGGCGGGGAGGGTCCCCGGAATACGGATGTCAGCCCCCGGCATGGGGGTGCTCCCCCCCGGGTTGGGGACCCTGTACCTGGGATAGCGAAGCCGCTCCTGGGGCTGCTATCTGCTCCCTGAATTAGGGGGATTCTATTCCTGCGGGTGGGATGCAGCTCCCCGGGATGGGGATGCTGCTCCCCGGATTGCACTGCTGCTCTCCGGAGGAGGGTCGGGCTCCCCTGCTCGGGCTGGGGTCGCTGCCGGGGTTCTGTCCCGCTCCTACCCCTCAGGACCGCGTTCCCATCGGGGCTCCGCTGCTGCGGGTCCACCGGCCTCGGCCCCGCGGGGGCCGGAGGGGCCGTGCGGGGCTCAGGGCAGAGAGGAAGGGGCGAGTCCAACCCCCATGTGTCCGTTTCTGCCCCGTGTCTCGGCAGGGAGCTGGCAGGGCCGGGGGTGGCTGCCGGGCACTGCCGTGTGGCCGAGGGAGCCGTGGGTCTGCGTGTGAACCCTCTGTGCCAGCTCGGGCCAGGGCACAGAGCGGGACTGGCTGTGGCATCACTGGAAGTGCCCAGTGGTGCTGGAGTCTGGGCACAGGCTGCCCCTGGGGCTCGTGGGGTACCCCTGCATTGCTGGCAGCAAGCGGGGTCAGTGTCCTCTCCTGCACTGAGCTGTGCCAGGTCTCAGCCCGTCCCGCAGGAGCCCCGGTGCCTGTGCCCAGTGGTCAGGATGAGCCCATGGGATGCAGGGCGTGGGACCGAGCACACAGCTCCCCGAGGGCACAGCCCTGGCGCTCAGAGGCTTCATGCCAAGCAAGGAGCCGTGCAGGGAGGAGCGAGGCCAGCCCCGCCGAGGGCTTGGCTGCTGCTCATGGTACCTCTCCCTCCTGGCATCCTCCCTGGCATCTTCCCTGGCACCTCGGGCCCTGCCTGCAGCCAGCTACCTGCCATCACTGCCACAGCATGTCCTTACAAGGGCACGGGCACAGCTCCCACCGCTCCTGCCTCGCCCACGCTCGTCCCTGGCACCCGGACCTGCCACACCAAGGCCACCCCGTGGGCACCCTGCCCTGCCATGGTGTGGCCACCGTGCTGTGACACAGCCACCCAGCCCTGCCATGGTCACCCTGCCACCTGGATCCTGGCACGGCCACTTCAGGGATGTTTGTGCCAACCAAGGGACAGGGATGAGGCTGCTCCCGTGCACAGCCCGACCCAGGCAGCGAGGATGAGGCACCTCTGCCAGGACAGGAACCATCTGCCTGGGCAGGTTTTGGGGGTCATGGCTGTGAACTGACCTCCAAACACTCCCGGATGGAGCAAGGGAAGAGCCAAGAGAAGGGCATGTCCTTACTGTACCAGTGGATGCCACAGGGTTGCCATGGGGTCCCTGGGTAGGGGGACGGCATCTCCGCAGCCTGACGGTCTCCATCATGCCGCCAGGTCTCCCACCACCGCAGCCATGGCAAACAAAGGCCCAGCCTATGGCATGAGCAGGGACGTGCAGTCCAAGATCGAGAAGAAGTACGATGACGAGCTGGAGGACCGGCTGGTGGAGTGGATCGTGGCACAGTGCGGGTCCGACGTGGGTCGCCCCGACCGGGGCCGCCTGGGCTTCCAGGTCTGGCTGAAGAACGGCATCGTAAGTGGGGTCCCGGGGGGGGGATTGGCTGGCAGGGGGGCTCCGTGGTGTTGCAGCAAGCCCAGGCTCTCTCCCGCGGCAGGTGCTCAGCAGGCTGGTGAACAGCCTCTACCCCGACGGCTCCAAGCCCGTCAAGATCCCCGACGCGCCGCCCACCATGGTCTTCAAGCAGATGGAGCAGATCGCCCAGTTCCTGAAGGCGGCCGAGGACTATGGGGTGACCAAGACAGACATGTTCCAGACCGTCGACCTCTTTGAAGGTGCAGGAGGGGGGGCAGTTGGGGCTGGGGGATCCAGGGCTGCTGTGCTGTGCCGTGCCCTTCCTCACATCCTTCCCTCCGTCCCTCGGCAGCCAAGGACATGGCGGCGGTGCAGAGGACGCTGATGGCCCTGGGGAGCCTGGCGGTCACCAAGAACGATGGGCACTACCACGGGGACCCCAACTGGTTCATGAAGTAAGTGGGGGAGTGGCAGAGCTGGGTGTGGGGACCCCTTTGCCCTGTGTCTGCCCAGAGCACCCTGGAGCACACGGAGGTGGTATGCTGGGGAGGGAGAGGGGCTGGGGCACTCCTGGGGATCGGGGGGGGGGCTGCTGGTCACCCGGGTGGGTGCGGGTGCCCCACGGCCTCTCCCCGTGCCCCGCAGGAAGGCGCAGGAGCACAAGCGGGAGTTCACCGAGAGCCAGCTGAAGGAGGGCAAGAACATCATCGGGCTACAGATGGGGACCAACAAGGGAGCGTCACAGGCGGGGATGAGCTACGGCCGGCCCCGGCAGATCATCAGCTAGGCACCCCCCCGCCGCCCCCAGCCCTCCCCAGCCGGGACCTCCGTCTCCGCTTCCCCCCCGGCCCAGCGCCGCAGCCGCCCGAGCGTCGGCGGCCGCCACCAGCCCCGCACCGATTGGTATTTATTGAGGAGCAAACGCCCCCCAAACGCCAGCCAACAACGCCCCAACGCCAGCGGCCGCACGCGCCCCGCAGAGCCCCCCGCCCCGGGGCTGCAGCCCCCGCGCCCAGCCCCGGGCAGCCTCTGCATCCCCCTGGCCTCGCACCCCTCGCCAGCCGGTCCTGCCCCCGCCGGCACCCACGGGTGTCCCACGGGTGGGATGGGCACGTGCCCCGGCCCACGGGGTGGCCCCCCCTGCCCGCAGCCCTCCCCCCCACGAGCCCCGCGCCACTGCCGCAGAGATCCCTGCGAACGGGGAGAAAGAGAGAATTGGGCCTCGGTTTTGTACTTGGTTTTTGTCGAAATTAAAAGGTTATATTAATCTAGTTGTGGCCTGACGAGGTTTCCTCCCGCCTGGCTGGTGGCTCTGGAAAAGCTGAAGCCACCCTCCCTAAAAGGCCACGGCTGCTCCTTCTTCCAGCTCCAAACCTGGGAAAACCACAGCTGGGGATCAAGCTTTCCCTGCCCGGCTTGGAAGACTCTGCCCTCTCCCCCCTGAAGCTCAACACCCACCTTTCTCCTCACTCCTTCCAACACTCTGGCCCAGCCCTTGCCTCCCCCTGCCTGGAGCAGCCCCCGTTATCCCAGCTCCTGGGAGCAGGGAATGGAGGGCTCATGGCCCCCACAGACCCACACCCCAACACTGGGTCCCCCCAGGCCCCGGTGCTGGGAGGGGATGGGTGACGCATTTTTCCAGTGAGGAAGCTCTGGGAGAGCAGAGGAGTGACGGATGGGGGAGAGGAGGGTTTTTCAGGCTTTATTTGGAAAGCTACACAAAAGGGCTTTGCTGATTAAAAAACAAACCCCAGCCTTAAAAAAATAAACCACCAAACCCAAAGACATGTGAACAAGCCAACCCTGCTCAGACAAGCCACTGCCAGAGCAACTCATCCTCCCCTCCCCGGCCCAAACCAGGCATTGCTCCTGGCTTTGTCCCTCCTGGATGGGTAGGGAGATCTGGGACAGTGGCCCCAGCGAGCTCTGATGCCAGAGGGACTCCTGTGCCCACCGCTGCAGGAACAGCCCCATCCTGCCACCCAAACAGGCCTGTTTCTGCTTCCCCAGCCCCACAGCTGCTCCATGCCCAGGGGAGAGGAGGAACCAGCAGGATCAGAGCACAGGGGACAGGGAGAAGCGCTGGTTGGAGATGAGTAAAGTAGCTCCCTGCTTCTAAACTGGGATAACTGGTGGGTAGAGGCCACTGCCAGCCCAGTGGGCAGGAAACTGCCAGTGCTGTGGGGTCCCTGCCTGAAGAGGTACCTTCCAGGGGCCCTGCTGGGTTTTCCAGGCTCTCTGCAGAAATCAGGGATGAAGGGACACGTCTTGCCTGCACTGCCAGGCTTGGGAGCAGTGGCGTGGAGGGGGTTGGTGTGGAGCTCTGTCACAGCTGCCACGCTCCCAGCAGGAATGGCACAGAGCCCTGCTCCACACACAGCAGGGACCTCTGAGCGCCCTGCAGGGCAGGCTCCCTCAGGAAGGGGTTTAAGGCTTGCTTTGTTTTCCAGAGCGAGGGAAGGGGAGCTCCCCTTCCAGTACCAGCACTCTTTTTTCCTTGTTTCCGAGCCACTTCCAACACCACCTCCCACAGAACACAGTGGCAATGGTCCACGCTGGCTCAGGAATGAGTCTGTGCTGCCCGTGCCCAGGAGGGTCGTACCACGAGGGAGGGCCCCAGCCCAGCCCAGCCCCAGTCAGCAGGGTCGGTGCTCCCTGTCCTCCAGGAGGAGCTCAGCCGGTGCCTCCCGGCCCAGGTATCCCGCTCCGGAGGGAGCTGCCTCGTGGAAGCTCACAGCTCTGCCATTGCTGGGAAGTTCGGGGTGGGTGGGGGTCCAGGACCCCTCCTCCCCATCCCGGGCAGGCTCGGGGTGCTCACACTCCATCTCGGCCTCCTCCACGTCCTTCTCCCGGTACAGCGGCACCGACTCCATCTCCAGGCCGCTCTCCAGGGCTCGGTGCTTCCCGCCCTGCTGGTACCACCTGCAGCTGGGGGAGCCAGAGCAGGCCAGGTCCAGCCCCACGTCGTTCCTCGTCAGGCAAACCTCCAGCATGTAGTAGAAAGTCCAGAACACGGCGAAGCATCCCAAGAGCAGGAGGGTCTACGGAGGGGAAACCCCTTGAGAAACGCCACCCTCGACCCCCCCGTGCCCTGCCCACTGCCCAGCAGAGGGGTCACAGTGTCCCAGGCAGGGTCCCGCTCCTCCAGCCCATCCTGGGGGATACAGGGACCCCCTGGCTCGCAGGCAGGCTCACCTTGAGGGTGTTGGCTGTGATGGTGTAGTGCTGCTCCTCGGGGATGTCCAGCCCGGGGGGACAGGGCAGGGAGAAGTTGCTGCTCAGGTACTGCCCACTCATGGCTTCCTCCAGCAGCCTGGGGACAGAGGCACCCCGTGAAGGTCCTGCAGGCAGAGGGGCTCCAGGGAGGGTCCCAAATGCCCAGCAAGGGCCTGCAGTGCCTCTTTCAGCAAAAAGTGCTGTGTTCTGCAGCCCACGGCTGCCCTGTGGGGTGTGAGGGCCCCTGCCATGCACCTTGCAGCACCACAGCTCCACCGAGCAGCACCTGCTCACAGGTATGGGCAGCACCCCTCAGCCTCCTGCTCCTGGCTCCCCACCAAGGCAGGACTGTGGTGTCCTACCTGTGCCGTTCCTTCATCTCTGCCGGGGACCAGGAGGAGCCGTACAGGGTCAGCTGCCACTGCTTTAAGGTGCCAGGCCTCAGGCTCTCATCTCCTGGGGAAGAAGCAGGTTGGTCCAGCGGGGAGCTCTCCCAAGTGATGATGGGACATGGCCCAGAGCTGCCACCAGCCCGGGAGTGGCCCCTGGCAGGCAGGACTCACCGATGTCCCTGACGAGCAGCCTGTACGTGCCCTGCGCCTCCTCGCCCCAGCACCGCACCGTGGAGAAGGTCCAGTCGGAGAAGCCATTGGGGTCCCTGCCAAGGGGTGAAGGGGAAACAACCCGTGAGAGGGTCACGGAGCCTGAGCCACGAGGCCGACACGGGCCCCGGGGTCCTGCCCTCCCCAGCCTGACCCCTCGGTGCTTACGAGTCCATGCTCCGGGTGGTCCCGATCAGGGACATCATCCCACTGGGGCAGAAGAGCCTGATCTCCAGGTTGCCACGGCGGGGGTGGGTTATGGTGACAGTGACTGCCACGTGCTCCAGGGTCCTCATGCCAGACAGCTGCAGGTCGGCGGTGGTGACTGGGAGAGGGAAGGCAGGGTTTGCTGAGGCTGGTGGCCGAGATGGAGTCCCCACTCCCAGCCAGCCCCATTTAACAGGACCTGTGTGGGACTGGGAGGAGAGACTGGGTGTATAGGCTCCCTGATCCCATTTCAAACCACTCTCAGTCCCACGGATCCTCACAGCCCCAGAGGTGCCAACCACAGCCCAGGGAGCCTGGCATGCTGCAGAGTGAGCCGTGGCTGTGGCATGGCCTGCTCCTGGCAGGTGGGTGCTCCCTGGGGGCACCTCTGCCAGCAATACAGCTGGGACAGCGAGAGGTGAAGGACCAGACTCCCAGGACCAGCATCTCCAGTGAGGCATGGAGGGGGAATGTGCTCAGCCTTAGGGCAAGGAGCTGTGCCCAGCAGAGCCAGGAGCTGCTGGGGGGCCGGGAAGGGCTCGGGCCGAGCTCTCCTTCCCACTGGTAGCAGCGCCTTGTTGATGTGGACAGGGCTGGCCAAGTCGGGAGCTGGAGCATTACCTAAAATGGTCAAAGGCAGTGGAGCGGGTCTGGCCGCTGCCCAGCCCTGTCTGGCTCCCCAAACACATCAGTCCATGGGATGGGGTTGTGGGGAGGGGACGGCAGCAACAGGCAGATCCCCTGGGGAAGGGCAGTGGAAAGAGAAGAAAAAGCCCAGGCAGCCCAGCACTTAACCCCTTCGTGGCCTCACACAGCCCAGGGCTGCTCCTGCCCTGCTGGGTCCTGCCCTGGGTGTGTGCAGCCCGTGCTCTCCATGGCACACCTGCTCTTACCATTCCAGGCGACCTCCAGCTCCCGTGGGAGCAGGGGGATGCTCCTGCCCTCCTTCAGCACAGGGCTCACGTACGAGGCCAGGTACGGGACAGACTCCCAGATCTGCCAGGAGGAAGGGGAGAGGATTCAGCATGAATTGCACCCTCCCTGCACATCCATCCCTCAGTCTCCTGGGGCTCTCACAAGCTGCTCCTGGATGTGGGCCCAGGCCAAGGGGCCTCTCCCAGCGCTGTTTTGGGGCACACAGACCTGGGCAGCACACACTGGGTGGTGTGAGCACTCTGGGGATGGAAGCAGTGCCCACACACCCAGGAGAGCTGGAGGGGGGTGGGTAAGACTTGGGACTCCCCAGCTCTGGGTCTGTCCCCACCATCACCCGAGTGGCTTTGAGTGGTTACTTGAGGCCATCTCATTCCAGCTCTGGACACAGTGGGGCAGGAAGGGGGAGCCCTGTGGCACTGGGGGCACTGCTGGCAGTGGCAGTGACCCAGCACAGCTGCTCAGTGCTCCACACACGAGCTGGGACCAAGTGCCAAAGGGACGTGGCCGGGTCTCCGTGCGAGCGGAGCAGGAAGAGATGGGGATGCCACTGCTGCTCTCACCACAGCACTCCCTGGAGCTGCCAGCTGAGAACACCCTGCTTCTCAGGGCAGGACACCCTCCCTGCAGCCACTGTGGAGGGAAGGAAGAGGGTGCTGGGGCTGCTGACAAAAGTCCCCACGCTGTGAATCAGAGCTGTGGGCTCCCGGCAGCGCAGCTCTCACCATGGCTATATATAGTGCTGGAGAGCAGCAGCCCGGGGCAGCTCTCAGGCACTGCCAAAAGCCTCATGACTTCATACCAAAAGCAGCCTCAGAGCCAGGGCCAGCAGGATGGTGGCCAAAGCACTGGCCCTGAACGGCAGCAGTGTCACCCCACGGTGTTGCCAGGACAGGATGTGTCCCAGCCACTGGGCTGGGCTGCTCTACCTGCCCAGAGGGCAGGTCTGGGAAGGAGGGAATTACCTTGGCAGCGTTGACCAGCCTCCAGGCGTTGAGCAGGCCAAAGCCATGCTGATGGCTGTGACTGAAGCCTGCCTGG